TTGTGGGCTGCACGAATGACCTGGGAGGGGGCGGAGAGTCTAGTGCCGGGTTAAAAGTGGGGGCAGCTTCTTCTTCTCCTCTCCCCTTGGTCCCAGAGCTGGACTGCATCCCATGAGGAGACTGTGTGTTCCTTTTCATTCCCACCCAGCCTCCCGAGAGTGTGCCAAACTCCCGTGGGGTTTCCCTGCAAATCCCCAAAGTATCCCTGGTGGGATCAAAGCTGGAAGGGAGGGAAAGGAAGGAACCGGAGGGAAGGGACCGGGAAAATGCTTGTGTTGGTGTTTGAAGCTAAGAGAGCGCTAGCTGAGCATTAGCCATGAGCTCAGAGAGAGGTGAGAGGCCCCACGGGAAAGCTAAGGCTGGGGAGTGCAGGTTCTGTGGGCTTGGGGGAGGGTCTGTGGGGCGGGGGCAGTTTGAGGGTGATCAATGGCAGAGGTGTAAGTCAGCAGAGCCCCCGTTCCTGTCCCAGTTCCTTCATCAATCGAGCTTGAGCGTGTGGCTCCAGCTAGGTCCTGCCCATGTGGACAACTGTTTCTCGGACAGGCAGAAAGTCTTCTCGGCTCAAGGAAGGAGCCTCCTCTGGCCGGACGGGTGTTGCCAAGAGGACCTGCTTCGGAGCCTGGCCAGCTTCAGCCTCCCATCCAGGGCCTGTTGCTTATCAGCTACGTGAGAATGAGCACGTGATGGACCCTCCTCTCTACAGCTCAGGTGCTGAGCCAGGTAAGCCTTTCTGCAAGCTGTCACGGTGAGAATGAACGGCATGGAATGTCCCCAGGAGCCCTGGAGATGCAGAAGTCATGGGTTGGGCTACAATCTTCAAGGTCAGGAGTTTGAAGCCACGAGCCAGCTCCAAGGGAGCGAGATGGGGCTTTCCACTCACATCAACAGCTACAGTCACAATAAGCGATCTGAAATTGATGCCGAGGAGCGCGTAGTTTTTTCCATTTAAAAGTGAGCAGAGGACAAATATACAAAGACATGCTCAAGAAGAAAGGCTAGCCCCTAAGAGATGCAAATCAGATCAATTCGGGTGTACCACGTTCCAGGACCACCCATCCTGATAGCAAAGCTGAAAAACAAGAAAAGGAAAAAGCAGAAAGTACAACATGCTGGAGAAGGTGTGGAGAGGTTGCGAACCTCTGAGCTTGGAACACGTGGCTGGTGGGACTGTACAACTGTGGGATCACTGTGGAAAGTGGATGATACTTCCTCAAACAACTGGGAGTAAAACGACCCTGCCAAGTACAAACTCTCCCAAACCCTTTGCTGGGTCTCTGCTCTGAAGGAGTGAAAGTTAAAGCACAGACAGATATGCCCATGTTCATCTCAGGGGAGCCCTGGGGGTGGGGGGGAGTACTTTACCCGTCGGGCTGCTAATCGCGAGGTCGGCAGTTCCTAACCACAAGCCCCTCTGCAGGGAGAGACGAGGCGTTTATAGTCCCAGGAGCCCACAGAAGCAGTTCTCCTCTGCTCTGTCCTGTAGAGGTGCTACGAACCTCCATCCGCTTGACGACACTGAACTTGATGGTTTGGGTCTTGGTTGGATGTTCGCCACAGCACTGTCCATGACAGCAAGACCATCCAACCCACCAAGGTGTCCTCAGAAGAAGAGTGGACGAATAAACGTTGGGACCTGTCCACCACGGGATGCTCCACGTGGCTAAAGAATAAAGAAGCTGGGAGGCATCTCATGGCATGGATAGATTTGGGGAACATTATGCCAAGTAAAGCTCTCAAGCAGAGGAAAAAAAACAAACACGGCCATCGAGTTGATGCTGACTCATCGCGACCCTATAGGACCGGGCAGAAGTGCCCTTGTGAGTTTCTCAGACTGTCACTCTTGTTTGGGGTTTGTTTTTTGCTTTGGAGCCGTTTTATTGGGTCACAATCCACAGATCATACAATTCAACAGTTCAATCGTATCAAGAAGAGAGGTTCAAGCGTTGCCACCATCCGTTTTAGAAAATGGTGACTCTTCAGGGGAGCAGCGAGCCCCGTCTTCCTCCCATGCAGCAGCTGGTGGTTTAGAACTGCTGACCTTGCAGCCACCAGCCCAACTCGTAACCACGAGGCCACCAAGCTCAAAACATTGGTGAAAAGAAATGTAACCAAAAGATTATGGAACGTCCCCACCAGGCAGGAGGGACCACCCTGGGCCTCTCCAACAGAGATAGACAGAGGTGCCAAGGGACCCCAGCTGGGCCAGTCAAGGAGCTGGTCATGTGAGTGAGCGAGACTTCAGGTGACTCCAGGCCCCAACCCTAGAGCCACTGGGTCCAGAGGGGAGATGTCTCCCCCACTGCTCTGTCACGACTGCAGATATGCCAGCAAAATAAATGTCTTTACGCCTCTAAGACTCGGCTTAACTGCCCGCCCCCACCCCCACCCCCAAAAAATCTCCTGGAACACAGATTGAAGGGGTTCCCATACCCCCAGCCACGGGAAGGCTTGATGATCCGGCCCCATCAGAATCCTTAGAAAAATTGGCTGTGAAATGTCCCTTGTGCTCCTATTTTTCGCCATCAGTGGCTCTTCCAAAGGACACATCACTGTTGGTCGTGTTTTCCTCTTTAGCTAGCACAGAACCAAAAGCCAACGGTCTTGGAGTTGCTCTGATTCTGGGTGTGCCGCGGTGCACAGAGGAGAGCTGGAAGCTCAACAGCTGCAATCTTCTAGAGCCGGCCTTTCAAGGTGCCCTTGGGTGGATTTGAAGCGCCAACCTTTTGGTTACAAGCCAAGTGCTTAGCTATTTGTGCCACCCAAGGAATCCATAGGACCTGCTGATAGACTGTGGTAGATTGCAAAAATAGGGCCTCGAGTATTGCCCCAGACCCATGCCCGTGGCGATGTGACGTTACAGCCGGTTCTGGCGAGGAAGGGCGTCTGCTGCCCCTGCCCTTGGATCTGCAGTCAACTGTGACTTGCTTGGGCCGGGACGGTGCAGCGAGGTGACTGCCCTGCACCTAAGCCTCAAGAGGCCCAGCACACTTCTGCTCATTACCTGGGAACACTTGCTGGGGCTGGACACCTGGATGGTACAAGTCACGCGGCCCATTCACCACCACCCCGCTCCCACCACTCCCACTAGTGTCCAGCCAGTGTGCAGAGGCAGCGTTGCCCAGCTGCATACAGAATAGTTTTAAAAACCCAGCACTGCCCAGCCGAGCCCACTCTAACTTCTCAATTCCACGAGTTAAATAAACGACTCCTCCTTTCAAGCCACTAACGTGGGAAATGCTTTGTGACGAGCGAAAGTTATCAGAGAAGCGAACCGGTGCTTTTGAAAGGGGCTTCCACAGAGTCCCCCTTCACACCATTCAAGGAGCCCTGATGTGCGGTGGGTCTGCCTCGGGCTGTGATCCGTATGGTCGCGGTTCTGAAACCATCAGCCGCTCCGAAGGAGTCAGACTGGGCTGGCTAGTGTCCGCAACCCACAGGGAGTCACTAGGAGCCAGCGTTGACTCGGTGGCAGGGAGGTTTGGCTTGTTTGGTTGGTTGGTTCAACCCCTTCTAAATCCCAAAGAACAAATGGCTCAAAGTCCAACTTCTGGTTTGCAATAGGAAAGCTTTATTCGGGAGTTAGGATCAGGTAGGGAGTGGGGCCACCACCCCCACCCACCCCCGGCCAGATAGAGGGAGGGCTATCTCCCTGTCCTGAGGTCAGAAAAGTCAACCAGAGGAGAGAAGGAGCCAATGGACAGACAGGGGCACACATGCCAAGCCAGCTTGGGCCCAAATGGGAACCAGAGCTTATCGCCAGCCATTCCTGATGGTGAAGGACAATGAGCGGGTGTCATCCAAGCTCTGCCCATCTGGGGATGCTCCGTGGGGGCTGAGTGGTAAAAGCCTTCAGGAGCTCTAGGATCACATCTAGTAGCCTGGGGAGAGAGGGGAGAGTAGTAAGCGGAAGAAGAGCGAGAGGCTGAACCCTGGAGAGAAATGGGGACACTGGGAGGAAGGAGTCTGGGGCTCACACAGCTAGAGAGTCCTGAGACGCAGGGACTGGGTCACTCGTCTAATGGCAACATCCAAGTCATGCGTCTCTTCTGACAGCAACCCTGGTAAGTGTTTGCCCCTTTCCAAGGTCGGGGAGCGTGTGAGGTGGCCCTGCCACCACTCCACAGCTTTGCTTGAAGACCCCTTGGATAGTAAGGTAGCCTATGCCTCTAGATGCCCACCCAGGGCCACTGGGCACACCCACTCACACCAGACACTCTTGGAAGGACAGTTCCCAGGCACCTCAGAGCTCTTCTGGACCAGACATGCTCCGCCATGCCATGTACCTGTTTACTATAAACTCATATTACATGTTTCATTTTCTCAAACATTTCATTTCTCAGACACTCTTGCCTTGGGTGAGGAGGGAAGGCAATATAATTTTGTAAATCTGCATATTCAAATTAATTCATTAAACTAACATTCTTAAAAACACGATGTGCCCACGGGGAGATTTTTCTCTGCTCTAAAGATCACTTTGCCTATGACTCTTTCTTCTCTTTAGATTACTTTTGTACAACACATGCCCCTCTACTGGGCTTAGACAAGCCAACTCTTGGTGAAAATCCCTCAACCGCTGGGCCTGTTGTTGATCCGGGTGTCCTCACGCCCACAATGGTTGCAAGTGCCAGCTAGGCAGCCTCACAATGCATTGCGTGACCTTGAACAAGTTACTGGTCCTCTCGTCTTCCCTCCCTAAATTGGGAATGATAATAAAACCTGCCTCTCGGGTGTTACAGGAAACACATGAATTAAGGCCTACTTCCCCCCGCCTGTCTCCCGACTGCAGGGACTGCGGGGACTGCGGGGACTAGGGCCGTACACGGATGTCCTCCTAGGTCCATCCACACTCCATCCAAATGATGGCTAATTCAGAACTGAGGACAGATCCTCTCCCTACAGACCTCCCGAAAATCCAGTTCTGTGCACTATTCCCCAAAGGAGCCCAAGAGGAGCACCTTAACTCTGAGTCACACCTCTGTAAGCCAGAGTTGTTCTTTACCTTGATCATCACAGTCACCAGGTTTTGAGGAAGAAGACTGGGACTGGGATTGCCATCCGCTTCCTCCTCCAGAGCTACTTCCTCCTCCATAGCTACTTCCTCCTCCATAGCCACCTCCACTTCCTCCTTTGGACCCACTTCCTCCACCATAGCTGCCTCCACTTCCTCCTCCAGAGCTACTTCCTCCACCATAGCTGCCTCCACTTCCTCCTCCAGAGCTACTTCCTCCACCATAGCTGCCTCCACTGTGACCTCCTGATCCACCATGGCCACCCCCACTTCCTCCTCCATAGCCGCCTCCACTTCCTCCTTTGGACCCACTTCCTCCACCATAGCTGCCTCCGCTCTGACCTCCTGATCCACCATGGCCACCCCCACTTCCTCCACCATAGCTGCCTCCTCTGTGACCTCCTGATCCACCATGGCCACCCCCAATTCCTCCACCATAGCTGCCTCCACTTCCTCCTCCAGAGCTACTTCCTCCACCATAGCTTCCTCCGCTTTGACCTCCTGATCCACCATGGCCACCCCCACTTCCTCCACCATAGCTGCCTCCGCTTTGACCTCCTGATCCACCATGGCCACCCCCACTTCCTCCACCATAGCTGCCTCCGCTCTGACCTCCTGATCCACCATGGCCACCCCCACTTCCTCCTCCATAGCTGCCTCCACTTTCTCCTCCATAGCTACTTCCTCCTCCATAGCTACCTCCACTTCCTCCTCCAGAGCTACTTCCTCCACCGTAGCTGCCTCCACTTCCTCCCCTGGATCCTTTGCCATGGCTGCCTCTACTTCCTCCTCTACTTCCTCCTCCACTTCCTTTGCCACCAAAGCCAATCTGTCCAACTCCAGAAGATTCACTGCAAAGAAAACAAACAGGAAAATGAACCCCCGGCAACACCCCCCAGGATGAGTCTGGGCAGACTCAGACCGGACGATGACCCTGCCTAGATGTCTTTCTGGTGAGGGGGGGGGGGGGCTGGCAGAGCTGGGCTGGCCCTGAGCTGGGAGAGAGCAGCCCTCCAGAGAGAATCTTTGGAAACGAACGGCCTCCTTCCTGGAGCAGAGTGGCAGTCCTTCCTTTCACTGCCACCCTCTTCCTCGCCCAAAGCCACCCCCCTGAGGTACCCTCACAAGCTGAAGACATCCTCAGCCCACCGGACTTTTGGGTGAAATTGCTGGTCTAACTGGCGTTGTGCAGCGGGTTGGAGTAGCATTAGGGTCCTGAATATAGGGACTCTATGGGATCCTGGGTCACCTACAAGTCCTCCTGGCCATCCTCGAGGAGGGTCCGGTAGGTCCGAATCTCCTGCTCCAGCTGTGACTTGATGCTGAGCAGGATACTGTATTCCTGGTTCTGGGACTCGATCTCGGCCCGGATCCCGGTGAGCTGGGTCTCCAACTGACCGACCTGCTCCTGGATCTGCTGCAGCTGGCCACAGTAGCGGTTCTTGGTGTCTTCCAAGGTCTTCTCCAAGGCAGATTTCTAGAGGATGGGAGATGGTTTAGAGGGATCCTGTATCCTAGCCCAGCTCCCCTCCTGCCCAACCCCAGGGGCCGCCCCGGCAGCGGGCCTGGAACAGGACTACCGACCATGCTGAGCTGCGACTGAAGCTCGATCTCCAACTCCTGGGCGCTGTGCCGGAGATGGGTCACCTCCTTCAGGTTAGACTCCATCTGCTGGCCACTTATCGTCACCTCCTGCTCAATCTGGGTCATCTGGAAATCCAAAGGTCCGGTGAAGACCCCCCGGGGCCAGAGGCTGTAGTGGGCCAGGCTGGACCCCACCCACCAGGCTCTTCACTTCCAGGACACGGCTGAGCCCAAGCCCAGACCAAGCCATTCTGAGGGCTGGCTCCCTCTGGCCACATCCAGATGTCCACCTGATGTGTCTCCTCAGCACAGCTGGAGAACCCTTCATACGACGGTCCCCAAACACCTTCCTGAGCTTACTTCAAACTCTCTCCACCCTCCAAACTCTCACACACACACACACACACACACACACACACACACACACTGCCCTGTGCTAGGCATCAGAGAGTCAAGGAGAAAGGGGGCACAGTCCCTGGCATCCGGGAGCTCACGATCTACCACTGGGAGCACACTGCATCCCTCTGTGACAGTCATCACACAGCCTTAACCTAAGTGGTCCATGCCCTGCCTGTGTTCAATACACACCTGCTAGATTGCGAGCAACAGTAGCAATCGTATTTGGCTCATCTCGTGTGTGTGTGTGTGTGTGTGTGTGTGTGTGTGTGTGTGTGTGTGTGTGTGTCTGATCTAGCTACTTGGCAACTACCTTTGTCTGAAATGAATAGATGGCAAAGTGGGTGGGTGGCAGCTGGATGGAAGGAAAGGTGGAGGGAGAGGCGAGGAGAACGAACGGGGGAGGAGAAGGCGGATGAGTGGGAATGGCGGGATGGAAAGATGAGGGAGGGCTGAGCGGTCGAGGGATGGGGGATGAAAAGACAGAGGAGGGAGAAGCCAGGGCGAGAAGGATAGGATGGAAGGCGGGGAAGAGTAAAATCTGCAAAGGGAAGACTAGGAGGTGGAAGGGATGGGGAGTGAGGCACGGAGGAATAGGGCCCAGGCCGCGGACCTGAGTCTCGTACTGTCTGTCGATCTCCTGGCGGTTCCTGGCAAGGAGCTGCTCGTAGTCCTGGCGCATTTCATCGAGGACCTTGGTGAGATCTTTGCCAGGAGCAGCGTTCATTTCCACACTGACATCCCCAGTGTTCTGCCCAGTCAGCTGGCTCATCTCCTGCAAGAGAAGAAGGGGATGTGAGGTCACAAAGGCGGATCCTCTCCATAGCCTTTCTGCCCTCTCCCCACAGTCCCCCCAGGAGGCCGCGTCTCTGAAGCCCTCCACCATCCTAGACGGGGCTGAGGAGGAGCTGGGCTGCTCCCCTCAAGAGTCAGGGAGGCAGTGACTCCCCAGGCAGTGCCCCCAGCTCCCTCCTGCTGCCTCTGCACCTCTGTCTCCTCCACCAGGAGCCAGGGGTCACCGGGAAGGAGCTGACCTCCTTGTGGTTCTTCTTGAGGGCCATCAGCTCCTCCTGCATCAACTCATACTGCATCTCCAGGTCGGACTTCTCCATGGTCAGATCATCCAGCACCCGGCGCAGGCCATTGATGTCAGCGTCCACTACCTGCCGAAGGTGCTGCTCCATCTCGAATCTAAGCACAGAGGGGGCATCAGTCCCTGCAGGGGTTCCCAGAATCCTGGAAGTGGGGGCATGGCGGGTGAGAGAACCAAGCGAAGGGGCAGGGCTCACTTCAGCCTGAAGTCATCCAGCATCATGTGCGCATTGTCAAGGCCCAGCAGGGTTTTGTTGTTGTCCGCGGTGGTGTCCAAGATCTGAAAAAGCGGAGGCAGCGTGGAGCTCCTGCTCGGAGGGAAAGACGTTAGGCGAAGATCTACCCAGGGAGCTGGAGCCCCATAACTGGTTAGGGCACTGGACCTTCAGCAAGGATGCTGAGTGTGGGCTTCATCCGCTCATGCCACCCATTGAAAAGTCTACTACAAAGAGCATTGTGAGGTTTAGAGATCAGTGCTAACCAGTGCCCCAGGGAGCCCACAGTCAACCACAAAGCCCAGCATTTCCTGAAAGCATTCAGGAAAGGGTCCATTGCTTGCTGCTGTGGGCAAGCAAGAGGTGGCCACTTGGGCTCTGATGGCTGGGGAAGCAGCCGCATGGGGGACAGGAGGAGGGAGGGAGGGCGATGACTGGGTAGACCGAGAGACCTGGGAGAGCCGAGGCCAAGCCTGGCCCATCAGCAGATCTACCCAGAACAACCCGAGGGTTCTCTCCCACTGATGGGGCTGGGTGGGTAAATGAGTGTGTGGATGAACAGGTAGAATACTAGCTCCTGCCCCCCACATCCCCATCATTCGAACAGTTCACCAAAACTTGGAGGGGGAAAGAGGCAGACAGACAGACGGGGTTCAGGAGAAGGCAGGAGAGAGATTAAATGGCTCTCAAAGAGAAAGAGTGGGAGGGTGGAGCTCCCTCCACGGACCTGGTTCTTGAGATCCTTGATGATGTCGTAGTAGTGGGAGTAGTCCTTGTGGAAGACCTTGGGGCCCTTGCTGTCATACCATTCCCGGATCTTATCCTCCAGCTCATTGTTGGACCGCTCCAGATGGCGCACCTGGTCCATGTAGGAGGCCAACCGGGTATTAAGGCTCTGCATTGTGTATTTCTCATTAGTAGTCAGGATGCCGCCATCACTTCCCTCAGACCCGCCAAAGCCTCCCCCAGAACCTCCACCAAAGCCCCCAGACCCTCCAAAGCCTCCCCCGGAAGCACCGCCAGAGCCACCCCAGGAACCACCGCCAAAGCCCCCACACCCACCTAAACCCCTGGAGCCTCCGCTAAGGCTGCCAAAACTGGAACCAGCCCCAAGTCCCCCACCATAGCTGGACCCCAAACCTCCTCTCCCAGAGGCCCCAGAACCGCCCCCACCGCAGCCACTGGAAGAGCTGAATCTGCCCCCTCCTCCGTAAGCCCCC